ATGGGAAGTAAAGACGGCTAGTGTGATGCTGACCACACCACCCACCAAGTGCCGGTCTATAGAGTATAGGTCTAGCCCTATATGCCAACAGGCGTGGAAAGGGTCCTTTACTTCACTCACTATATATATGTATTGAGCGGCACTTATAGAAGGAGGCAGACAGATCTTTCTACTTCTGTCCACTAGTGCCAGTCAATGCATGTTTATCAGATTAAACTGTTTCTAATGTCTCAAGATTACTCGTCTGTTTATTGCTGTGATAAAAACATGGCTAGTTCTCTTGAGTGTCGGGACAGTAGGAAGTCTTATCTTCAATCTGTGCCAAGCTTTTCCCATGTACCCACAGAAATTGTACTAAGAATATTTAGATAATGTTACTACACTGTGTCATTAAAATAGTGAATTTGTGCTAAGAATATTTAGATAATGTGTACTACACCGTGTCATTAAAATAGTGAATTGTACTAAGAATATTTAGATAATGTTACTACACTGTGTCATTAAAATAGTGAATTGTACTAAGAATATTTAGATAATGTTACTACACCGTGTCATTAAAATAGTGAATTGTACTAAGAATATTTAGATAATGTGTACTACACCGTGTCATTAAAATAGTGAATTGTACTAAGAATATTTAGATAATGTTACTACACCGTGTCATTAAAATAGTGAATTGTACTAAGAATATTTAGATAATGTGTACTACACTGTGTCATTAAAATAATGAAAGTTGTACTAAGAATATTTAGATAATGTGTACTATACTGTGTCATTAAAATAGTGGATTTATAATGTGAACAGTTTAATAGTTGATTACCATCGTCAATTTTATCTTTAGGAGAAATATCTTCAAGGATGGCACAGACATTTCTGACTTTTCTATATATGGGCTTAAGCAATAAATTTCTTGACCTTGCCATGAAGGTCTCTGTGGCTGGTTATGTTCAGCAAGTTTTCCATCATCATGAGACTTACAAAGTTAATTAATGGTTTTCTTTGGAGTTCATATTTCCTACACTGAAGCACACAGCGTTCGATATTACCGTACCGTACTACTGGCATAAAACACAGGTCTCTTCCTATACAGTACAGCAACCCCATCCAAGTTGTAGTCTTAGCAATTTGTGACTGCAGGGCATTTCTTCTTCTTCTTCGCGTTCACCAGCTGTAAACTCTGGCGGAAGGTTCTGGTTGCTCGTCCACTACTGAACTGCAGTCCTGCTCCAGAACCTGAGTGTTGCGTGTGCATCAGTTTTACAGATCTCATTCTCTTGAATACAGACTGTTGGTGCCTTGCCTCTCCGGCAGATGCACTCCAACTTCAAAGGAAGCTCCCCAATTAGTCGACTCTTACGACATGCTTTTTGGGAGGCAGTGGGTCTATTCTTGATTTCCCCACAATGGGGCCCCGGGGTGCAGGGCATTTCAAGTTCATCTGTTACCTGACTTTCACTTTTAGGAGCATTGAACAACATCTATGAATGTCTATCCTTCAGTCTCTGTTCCAAGTTTAAGAACCATTCCTGTGATTTACATTTTTAATAAATGATTTGATGCTCTGTTCTCACAGTTAAATGAAGAATATGTTCATAAGATAAGCCTTTTTTCCCCTTCACTATGTGCAATTTTATTACCACATTTTCCCACACGAACCTCTTTCTGACAGATGCCCATATTAGGACTATGAAGAGATTCATGTAAACATATCAGAACTGAAATAAAATGTAATGATCCGAAGGGGTGACAAAAAAACAACAGAAGCAGCAACAACAAACATCATTAATGTTACCCAAACCAGACCTGTATCCAGAAATGAATAAAAGTATCTGGTTTACCGTAATCATACATTCATCACCACACCAACAGTCTACATTATACAGTTCAAACAAGACTGTTTTGTCCTACAGCAGATCCATCTGGAGACAAAGACTACCACACTCTGTGACTCTTTTAATTTATGTTTGATGCTCTGTCACAATCTCCTGTTAAGTTTTTAATATGTTACATATAGCTTGTAGTGTATGGCCCCATTCTGTTCTGTTGATAATTTTGACTGATTAATAAAAAAATTATTAGATCTTAGTGATAACGTTTAGCTTGTAGTGTATGGTCCCATTCTGTTCTATTAATAATTTTGACTAAGTGATTAACTAACAATTGTTAGCTCTCAGTAATAAATTTTACTTGGACATGTTTGCACAATGGGAGAAAATCAACCACTATGGCAGGCATTAGAGGCTAAGAACCAGGGAACCAGACCTTCAGGGCGACCCAGGGCCCAGTGTGAAGACACCACCCGACTCCCTGACTGACAGAGGACTGGTATGGAACAAAGCCAGAAAGAAAATTTCTGATAGAGACGTCTGGCAATCTGTCTGGCAAATCCCAAGGTAGAAGAGAAGCGACTAAGTAAGATAACGTCTGCTAAGTTATTATTAATTCTCTTGACAAGAAGATGACAGGATGAAGAAGAAGATTATTTTAGTTCATTTTATGCTAGTCTGTGATAATTTTGACTATGTTATTCTTTAACTCTTATTATCTTGGATAATAATCACGCTGAGCAGGGAATGCAGAGACTGGCCAGCTGGTGCTACAGAGGTGGAAATTCGGCAATTAATTCAAGATAATGCTCGCTCAGAGGATTTGATCATTTACACAGACGGTTCAGTGTCAAGAGGCAAAAGAAGTGCTTGGGGCTTTTTAGCAAAAGTTATTGGTCGACGTTTGGTGCAGGAGAATCTAGCATATGATACCACAACATCCAGCTTAAGAATGGAGGTGGAGGCGGTCACTGCAGCTTTCCGCTGGCTAGAGAACACGACACACACACACATTGTAATTGTAACTGATTCAGAAAGCATGCTGAGGAAGATCAGAACAGGGTATGCTTCGTGCAGAGTGGCATGCTTCGCTGCGGAGGACACGAGTGAGGAGTATTGTCTGGATTTTTTCACCGGCTAACGCCGGTGTTTTGGGAAATGAACAGGCGGACATACTGGCTGGCTCTGCACAACTTGGTGGAATACTGCTACATGATAGGGCAGACGTGGTTAGTGCCTTGTGGGAGAGCGTGTACAATGCGGAGGAGCAGATGGATCACCACAGTTTGGTGAAATTGATGCAGTTGGGGGTGACGAGAGGTTCTGGCAGAAGCTCAAGGCTCAGAGGAAAGGCAAGACGGACATTTAATCAGAAAGCTACTGGCACTATTAGTATCGGAACTCTTCGCTGGCTGCTGAAGATGGGGATGGAGCGCTTATGGGAATGCCCCGAGTGCTGTGATGTCGGTTCTTGAATCAAATCAAATGAAATCAATCAATCTTAGATAATAATTGCCTTTGATGAAGTTTTTAATCAATTCATATCTCAAACGGTGACTAATTACATTATCTCTGTCTATCATGCAGAACTACTGCCTCACATTACCTCCTTCTATCTCAAAGTGGGCAAACAGAAAATAAACTGCTAACAGCAACACAAGTTGTGCCTTGTCAAACAGTTAGCATTTGAAGCTCTCATACAGGATACCCGAGTCTGAATCCTCAGTCAGGTTAAAGGACTTTTTTTCTTTACCTGTCAGGGCAAAATAAGTCTTTAACTTAGCACAGTTGATGGCAACTGCACTAATCATGTGGTCTGAAATCTTCATGCTAAAAAATGAACACCATAATCCTCTGCACTATAAATGCCGAATCAGATGGACGGTAAGGGCCGTAAAAGACAACACATATGTTGCATTCTGGACAGATGGGGTCACATTTTATCTGTCAGGAAATTTTAGAAGGAAACCATGATAGTATATATGAGATTTGTGTTTTCTAATTATTTGGAAATATCTCAGATTTATGGAGTTTAATTAATCCAACACAGTGAGCTATTTCAAATTTAAGTCATTTAATTTCCCAAGGTGATGAGATATTTCAGATATAATCTGTTTATTTGCTCCACTATAATGAGATACCACAACTGTAAGATGTTTACTTACCTCAGACAGTGAAATATTACTAGATTTAAATCTAAGATTATGGATAATAATGGAAAGAACAGTTGCCTCAGAACAAATCATAGATCCTACACATAAATAGAAAACACAACTTTAGCATCATCTGCCAATACAAACAAATGAAAAGTGCGATATACAGAAAATTACCCCTTGTGAAAAATGGAATCATAAAAAAGTTGAAAAATTTTTTTTTAACAATTTTCTGAAACTCTACAAAAAGAAATTAGTGAAAGAGAAGAAGAAGCAGCGAATTGTTGCAGTCTTGGTCAGTTTTGATAAAAATCCACAAAGTTCTAATCTATGACTATTGAGATGACAGGCAAGACTACTGGGCACTATGACATTGGGGACGTTAAATCACTAACAGAATTAATATTAATTTCTTTAAGCTAGAGAATTAAGCACTAAATAACAATTGAGCAAAGAATTAATTGTTTTCCTTCTCTTTGATTATGAAATAGGTGGGTTTGCTGACAGCCAAGTGAAGCAAAGTGATGTAATTATGAGGTTATTAAGACATCACTATACATCCCAATAAAAAATATAATTTTTTTTAAAAAAATGTTGTAAATATAATCACCTTTAGAGTGTTTGCTCACTCGAAGAACACTGCTGCGGTTGCAACCAGTAACAAAGCCATTATATAGGTACAGCAGCCATTTCAAAGGACTGCATGTAATCAAAAACCCACAAATACTGATCAGAAATGGCTTTCTTAGGGTGACAAGTTTAAGATTTGCAAAAGATATCAACTGGCAATCTTTCAATGTTTAATGAATTCAGAATGGACCTTCAATGAGATTTAAAAACAATGAATTCTCTTTTTCTCCCACATACATGTGCAGTAAAATATTGATATTTATTCATCAAAACTTTCATTAAAAATACAATTTTTATGTACAAAGAGGATATCACTGATTCAGCTGTTAGTTTCAACTGTCTGGCAACTCAGGGGCAGCAATGCTGCAGCTTGACACGATATGGATACAACTTAGTTTAAAGCTGTAAAGAAAAAAGTTAGACTATGTTAAGCAAAATGTATGAAACAAACATACAAAATATGACACAGGAAATGTGTAATACTTGGAATGCCCATGAAAGCAATTATGGTACTACACAATCTTACGTCATGATATCATAAGGATAAACAGACTGCAACTGAATGTTGTTGAGCATTGAGCTAACAACTAGCATCACAACACTTAGGACATTCCCATAAGTGCTCTGTCCTAATCTTCAGCAGTCAGCAAAGGGTTCTGATTCTCATGGTACTAGTAGCAGATTGACTATATGTACCTCTTGCCTTTCCTCTGAGTGTTGACTGTTGACCAGATCCCCTGGTCACTCCTAGATGTACCATTCTCTCCTCTGAGTGTTGAGTGTTGACCAGATCCCCTGGTCACTCCTAGCTGTACTATTCTCTCCTTTGAGTGTTGACCAGATCCCCTGGTCACTACTAGATGTACTATTCTCTCCTCTGAGTGTTGAGTGTTGACCAGATCCCCTGGTCACTACTAGATGTACTATTATCTCCTCTGAGTGTTGAGTGTTGACCAGATCCCCTGGTCACTACTAGATGTACTATTCTCTCCTCTGAGTGTTGAGTGTTGACCAGATTCCCTGGTCACTACTAGATGTACTATTCTCTCCTCTGAGTGTTGAGTGTTGACCAGATCCCCTGGTCACTACTAGATGTACTATTCTCTCCTCTGAGTGTTGAGTGTTGACCAGATCCCCTGGTCACTACTAGATGTACTATTCTCTCCTCTGAGTGTTGAGTGTTGACCAGATTCCCTGGTCACTACTAGATGTACTATTCTCTCCTCTGAGTGTTGAGTGTTGACCAAAACCCCCGGTCACTCCTAGATGTACCATTCTCTCCTCTGAGTGTTGATCGTTGACCTTATCCCCTGGTCACTCCTAGATGTACCATTCTCTCCTCTGAGTGTTGAGTGTTGACCGGATCCCCTGGTCACTACTAGATGTACCATTCTCTCCTCTGAGTGTTGAGTGTTGACCAGATCCCCTGGTCACTCCTAGATGTACCATTCTCTCCTCTGAGTGTTGAGTGTTGACCAGATCCCCTGGTCACTCCTAGATGTACCATTCTCTCCTCCGAGTGTTGAGTGTTGACCAGATCCCCTGGTCACTCCTAGATGTACCATTCTCTCTTCCGAGTGTTGAGTGTTGACCAGATACCCTGGTCACTCCTAGATGTACCATTCTCTCCTCCGAGTGTTGAGTGTTGACCAGATCCCCTGGTCACTCCTAGATGTACCAATCTCTCCTCTAAGTTTTGAGTGTCTACCAGTTCCCCTGGTCACTCCTAGATGTACCATTCTCTCCTCTGAGTGTTGAGTGTTGACCGGATCCCTTGGTCACTCCTAGATGTACCAAGACCATAATGATCTATTCTTCCTCTGGACTGTTCACCGGCTCCTAAAGGGTCTTGACCATGCTTGTCATGCATAAATTCACCAACTATTGATGCTGAACTCACCAGTCTTTCTGCCTGTTAATTTCCCATCACTCCTGTATACGCAGGAGAAAATATCCGATGAATGTTAATACTCCAGGTCCTTTGACGCGATGCTTGCCACTCTGCATGGAGCATACCTTTCTCCACCTTTCCTAGCATGCTTCATGAGTCAGTTGTAATCACGACATGGATGTGCTGCTGGTTCTCAAGCGAGCAGTGGTTGGGGCTTGTAGAGAGCATGGCAGGTAATAAAGAGATATAAACTGTGAACATGAAGCTGCTGCAGCAGCATAAGAAAAAAAAGGAGAAAAATAAGAAGCAGAAAAAGAAGAAGAAGAAGAAGAAGAAGAAGAAGAAGAAAATGAGAGAGAGAGAGAGAGAGAGAGAGAGAGAGGGAGAGAGGGAGGAGACAGAAAGAGAGAGAGAGAGAGAGAGAGACAGAGAGAGAGACAGAGAGAGATAATAAGAGAGAGAGAGATAGATAGATAGACAGAGAAAGAGAGAGAAAATAAAATCTTACCATAAATTTCCAGAGGGATAGTATGCAACCCAAGAGTATTGTAACCCACACAAATGTACTCTCCAAAGTCCCCAGAGGTCAGAGACCTCACCAGCAAGGTCGAGTGGGTGGTGTCATGCCGGTAGTGATGCTCCGACACCTTGTACTTATAGCCATTCTCAAGTCTGAAAGTGAGAGTAAGTAAAGTAAAGATCATTTTTCATCAGGCATATGGGAGAAGCACCCATTTTTTAACAGACAAATTGGCAATAGGTGGGTAATGTGGTCAGCATTACGTGGGCCTTATTTACTTTCCCAGGACATACATACTGGTACCAATTTAAGGTTGGGTCGATCTGCGACGCCCAATACCATGATAAAATTAATGCAAAAAGTGCGAGTAGCACATGACAATCTGGAGCTAGACAGAAACAAAATCCAGCCAAGTCATACTAAAAGACTGTCACCAGGGCTTGTTTCCTAGAAATGAAAGTGCCTATACTCAACACAAAGTGTCTTAAAAGGAGCCGGTAATCACCACTAAGTATCTAATACTGTAGCGAAAAAAAAATTACCTAAAATTTTGGGGAAATAGTACATTTGTACATCACATAAACACACACAAAAAAAGCTCTGATTGACACAAGTCTAGATGCTCGCACGCCGACCTGAAGGTCTGCGGTTCAAATCTGCTCTGCAGCAGATTTGTCTTTGAACTTTTGTTGTTTCAAGGTCGACTAAACATGAAATGAGTACCAGGTAATGTCCTGGGAAGCAAAGATGGCCAGCCTAATACTGGCCACATCAGTCAATCAGTGCCGACTGGTCTATAAAAAAATATGGGACTAGCACTATAGGTCTTGTAATAAGGTTAAATTGGGAATACCCAGTTGAATATTTAAAGCTATTACTGCAGGTTGGAATGAACATCGGCGACCAGGTCACCCACTGGCTTGCCGGTAGACGACTTCGTCGCTGGCTGAGACAGTATTTGGGTCTGTCTCCTCTGATCGCATCAACACTAAGGAGTCCTTTTCAGTTTCCAGGGCTCTTAGTTACGGGCAATGTTAAGCCATTTTATATGGTGCACATAAGCTAGTCACAGTTATAACCTAAGGCTCCCCCTTTAGGGTTGCTGGTTGAACGTGACTTAAAAAAAAATTTTTTTAAGCAAAGCATCATCAGAATGAATGGTGACAATATGTTGCATGCAAACTCTTTGGGAATGAATGGTGACAATATGTTGCATGCAAACTCTTTGGGAATGAATGGTGACAATATGTTGCACGCAAACTCTTTGGGAATGAATGGTGACAATATGTCGCACGCAAACTCTTTGGGAATGAATGGTGACAATATGTTGCACGCAAACTCTTTGGGAATGAATGGTGACCATATGTTGCATGCAAACTCTTTGGGAATGAATGGTGACCATATGTTGCACGCAAACTCCTTGGGAATGAATGGTGACAATATGTTGCATGCAAACTCTTTGGGAATGAATGGTGACAATATGTTGCACGCAAACTCTTTGGGAATGAATGGTGACCATATGTTGCACGCAAACTCTTTGGGAATGAATGGTGACCATATGTTGCACGCAAACTCTTTGGGAATGAATGGTGACAATATGTTGCACGCAAACTCTTTGGGAATGAATGGTGACAATATGTTGCACGCAAACTCTTTGGGAATGAATGGAAAGAATGGATAACAACATGAATGGATAACAGCTGATAACGGGAATATGAGAAAGAAAGAAAGTATGACTGATGATTTCTGACTGCAGTTTTCTGTTAGTGTTGCAATAAATTGTAAGTGAACTCACTGCTCATTATCTTCAATGTGTATATGTGTGCTGTGCTGTACTTTGAGATTGTCCTGAAACCTTGCAGGAAACAAACGAAGCCAACAACAAGCACAGTACAGGGTAGGTTCATGAAAGTCTGATGCATCAAGGGAATGAAAAATGTCCTTTACTTAATTTTTCGCCTTTTTTTTTTTAAATTATCCAAATAAGACATTATTATTTGTGGACAGATTGATTTCAGTCACCAAGAATACATTTCTTGATAAGATCACTAACAAATTAAACATCATGGAAGATAAGATAGCTTCATCATCCGATGAGAAGGCCCTAGTACCCACTTCCACAAACAACCTTGCTGAAGAAATATTATGGATACAGAGCAAGGAAAAGACTATGCAGAATGTGGAATGAGGGTATCAAGAACAGCCTTAAGAAATGGAAGAACAACTTATACAACCTTTTAGAAAGAGCACTCAGGAGACGCCATTCCTCACCCCTCCCTCCCCCCCCAACTCATCGAGGAAGCAGCTACAGGAAGTAAAACACTTACAGCAAAGGTCAATGATAAATTTACAAAAATAAAAAAAAATTCCTAAAAAAGAATTCAAACTGTGTCTGCTACGAAACTAGTTATAAGTGGTCATGCCTCTGTTTGTTTCCTACTATATTTCTGAACTTGTATGCTGCATTTAAAATTAAATTAATTACAGGGCCTTTGTTCCTGTTTTATTAACATAGTGTTTCTTAAATTGTTGTTAGTGCCAAGTTTGCTTTGTTTACAAGAGCATGCCTAGCAGCATGGCCTGTCAAACCAGGCAGGTCAAAGGGCACAGAGCACATACAAAAGGGTACCATGGTCCTCTGGATTGCGACTGAAGATTGGAGTGAACTCTCCCACCTTTGTGAAAACTCTTTACATCGTGAAATAGATATTTAGGCCTTGAATGTGGAGTTGAATAAAGGTGGATAATATCTGCAGTAATGAACCTTAGAGGCTCAGAATACTGAAGAAGTAGAACAAGAAGGGTCAAGTTCTGTCATCGCTAGTATTATTTTAGTAGGAATACTATTGATCACTGCTCTTCCTGTGTGCAAATCTTCAGCAATATCTATAAATAAAACTGTCACTGTATCAGTGGTAGGAAAAGGGTAATTTAATTGGTTAGGAACTGTGGCCGTGATGTCAAATATTTAGCAGGAGGAGAAGGAGGAAAAGCCGAAGCTGGAGAAGAAGAAAAAGAAGAAGAAGAAGAAGAAGAAGAAGAAGAAGAAGAAGAAGAAGAAGAAGAAGAAGAAGAAGAAGAAGAAGAAGAAGAAGAAGAAGAAGAAGAAGAAAAAGAAGAAGAAGAAGAAAGGAATAAAAGAAGAAGAGAAAAAGATGGTGAAGACGATTCACCTCTTATGGTGCCTTGTCCAATGAATACTTGGTCGTGGGTTGCCAATTGCTGAACAATGTATCTCCACATTGTGACCTCTCCTTTGACCTGTTCTTGTCTGATTACGGTAGAGAACTGGAGCAACTGAACAAGATGAAGTCATAAATGAGAACTTGAGTATAAAGAGTGTTATATTTGTATTTATTGTATTCAGTCACACCAAATTAACTATGTTAGCTATTCAGTAGCATTAAACGAGAGATGTGACACATAGAGAAAGAGAGAAATCACCACATACACAGATTCTTTCACAATGGCACAGAGCAAAGTGCAAGTGATGCCAACTGACTGATTCATTCCTCCATCCATCTATCATTCACTCATTTAGTCAGTCAATCAATCCTTAATTCATTTCCTAATACTCACAGGTGTTTCATCTCCCGCAGCAAATGTCTTAAGGTGTAGACACTTATTGTTCCCGTAGCACACTGATTATAAAAATCATTCTCATAAATCTCTCCTTGCCTGATTCACACCTAATTCTTTGTTGATACATTCTCATCCACATATCAGCATTCGAACAGGAATATCATGACTATCATTGAAACTGTGGTCTGTTGGTTCCAGTGCAGCCCGTGATGAGAGGGAGGTTAATGAGATGAACTTGAGATTAATCATAATGTCTTGGCTGGGGCAAGTCCTAAAGGATCATCATTTTTGTGTGTGTGCATTGTTGAAAGCCTCCATGAATGTCCTGGCCTTCAAGGTTCCTATTTTGTAGATATCCATACCAGGATTGGTGCTTGGTCTAACTAACCAAACACCTGACTTCATAGTTTTGGTTACCCCTCTCTGTCTGCTGTATACAGCCTCACAGACCAGCAGGATTTATAGATATCAACACCAGGATTGGTGCTTGGTCTAGCAAACCAAACACCTGACTTCATACTTTTGGTTACCCCTCTCTGTCTGCTGTATACAGCCTCACAGACCAGCAGGATTTATAGATATCAACACCAGGATTAGTGCTTGGTCTAACTAACCAAACACCTGACTTCATACTTTTGGTTACCCCTCTCTGTCTGCTGTATACAGCCTTACAGACCAGCAGTATTTATAGATATCAACACCAAGATTGGTGCTTGGTCTAACAAACCAAACACCTGACTTCATACTTTCGGTTACCCCTCTCTGCTGTATACAGCCTCACAGGTCAGCAGGATTTGTAGAAATCATACCAGGGTTGGTGCTTGGTCTAACAAACCACACACCCAACTACATACTGTCAATAACCTCTCTCTGCTGTTGACAGCCTCACAGATCAGCAGGATCTATGTGGCTAAGTGACTTTCTTCACACTGTAAAGGTTACAGGTTTATTTCCCTGTGTCTTTTGGTTTAGAGAGTAGCAATTTGTTTTAGGGAGATCATTGCCGCAGCAGTAAAGTGTGAGCTGTGTGTAATGTACCTGGCTATTGTATGGAACGAATGAACAAACTTTATTTTCAAAGGGTTACAAATTAGGCACACAGGCCTGTCTTACATTCAGCCCTTCCAAAATCTTTCATACAGCAGTTGTATTTTATCAGTAAAGCATGTTATGTTCATGTATTAATATGCATATTATGAATATCAAGTCAAAAACAAAAGAATGGGTGGTAAAATATGTGCGCACACTCATGAGCGAACACACCCCCACATACACACGCAAACTCATTCCCTCACACACACACACACCTAGGCACCCAATACACACATACCTCCACATACATACAAACATGCACACACACACACACACACATACATACATACGTACATACATACGCACATAAACATACTTACATACATACTCACACACTCATACACACAGTCACCCACACAGACACAAGCTCTAAAACACACGCGCATACAACCGAGACACACATACACAGACCCAGCATTACAAAGTAGACCTTACCTTTCTTAACTAAATCGATACTCTTAAACTTTGTAAACCTATAAGCAGGTCAGTACTTACTTGGATTGACCGCTACAAATGTGGTTGGTTCGAGGGCAGGAGCAGGCGTTGGTGGTGCTGTGGGAGTAAACAAATACAAATGATTATGTCCTGGAGAGAATGAGGCACCTGGGGTGTGACTAGAGGGTCTGGCCGGCTCACTACACTCAGAGGAAAGGCAAGATGGACATATAACCTTTACTTATTACTTATAACCTATTACTTTTTTTACATTCTGGTTGAGACTCACCAGACAAACCTGTTGAAACAAGAATGAAAAAAAAAAACATAGATAAGCTTTCATTACAACAATTATATTTGTGGAATTTAAATATATTAAAAACGCAATAAACAGATAGCACAAGTTTATTTCTTGATATACTGCTTGAAGTGTTTCTCTGTAACTGTAGGCGGAGCAAAAGGATATTCTGTTTGCACAACAATAAACTGTGTGTAACGGTGGCTTGGAAAAGACGGTGACGGAAGGTGCAAGCTTGTGAAAGGCAGGGGTCGGCCACCACGAAGATGGATACAAGACATTAAAGATGCATTGGCACTGAAAGCACATGGGGCCGGTGAGCTGGCTAGGGAAAGGGATATTTTCAGTTGTGCCGTGAAGAAAGCAACGTTCTGTAAAGGACGTGCTGATTGATGATGAATGGGAAAACTTTGCTCTAAACATTAGTTGAACACAACACAAACTGAAGTTAGTAGCAAACTCTGAATAGTTTAACTCACATGTAAAATTAATACTTTTCTATGGACCATAAACACACGGAACAATTACAACAATTGGTTATAAATGCCAAACATTCATTAATTTTTTTTCTGCACAGACTGTAAGGAATAAAGCGGCAGCAGCAGTAATAGTATTAGTAAAGATCCCTTTTCCACACCTTTAAGTGTACTGGAAATATAGGGCTAGACTTATATGTTTGTAAACCCGGCACCTGGTGGGTGATGTGGTCAGCATCACGCCGGCCGCCTTTACTTTCCAGGACCGCACCTGGTCCCCACTCAGGCTGGGTTGACCTGGGAGTCAAGGTGATTTCTTAAAAAAAGTCTGGCTCCGTCAGGACGTGAACGCACGACTTTCGGATCCGCAGGCGGGTGTGAGGAGTAAAGAAGTTGGGCAAAGCAGACAGCTATGTTGGCTGACAGTCATGACAGAGTACAGCAGAGAGCTATGTTGGCTGACAACCATGACAGTAGACAGCAGAGAGCTATGTTGGCTGACAGCCATGACAGAGGACAGCAGAGAACAATGTTTACTGACAACCATGACAGCAGACAGCAGAGAGCTATCTTGGCTGACAACCATGACAGAGGACAGCAGAGAGCTATGTTGGCTGAAAACCATGACAGAGGACAGCAGAGATCTATGTTGACTGACAGCTATGACAGAGGACAGCAGAGAGCTATGTTGGCTGACAGTCATGACAGCAGACAGCAGAGAGCTATGTTGGCTGACAGTCATGACAGCAGACAGCAGAGAGCTATGTTGGCTAACAACCATGACAGCAGACAGCAGAGAGCTATGTTGGCTGACAGTCATGACAGCAGACAGCAGAGAGCTATGTTGGCTGACAGTCATGACAGCAGACAGCAGAGAGCTATGTTGGCTGACAGCCATGACAGCAGACAGCAGAGAGCTATGTTGGCTGACAGCCATGACAGAGGACAGCAGAGAGCTATGTTAGCTGACAACCATGACAGAGGACAGCAGAAAGCTATCTTGGCTAACAACCAATTCACCACTGAGGAATGAAATAAGGTAGACAAAGATCTCACTTACCAAGTATTGTTAACTGTGTTTTGCCACGGCCTGCAGGTTTGACACCATTCTCTGCCACACAGACATATTGCCCAGTCTGTTCAGGGGACACTGAGCGGAGTGTGTATGTGTTTCCTGGTCCTAAATCTGGCAAAAGAAATAATTTTAAACAGTCAAGAATATGAGTTCTGTTGTTTTACCACAACAGATGGCAAAGAACACATTAGGTATTCACTCTTTGTAACATTCACCAAACCAGCATTAGATAGAAAGTTGGATAAAGAATATGTCTGGATTATACTGACAGACAAAGAACAAAATGATTCAGCCTTCAAGTAAGAATGCAACCAGACCAAGCTGCATATGAGATTTTTTACAGCAGAATATCTAGGACAAAGGGGAGGGGAAGACCAAGAAAGAGACGAATAAATGGTGTACCCAAAACCTGCAAAAAGATGAACAATTCCATCACCAAGGCCACCTGAAAAGTACAAGACAAATGCTCACCATGCTCACACCAATAGGCTCCAGACTTGGGTTTTACAGATTTGGTCTATTTGTATGCAGACTGTTGGTTCCTAGCCTCTTAGGCAGAGGTACTCTGGCTTTAAAGGAAACAGCCAGCAGTTTGTCTACTCTTTTCTGCCAAAATGGGGCCCTGAACTCTCTCGAAGATCTATGCAGGCAGAATCTCCAGATGCAGACAAGTCTATTATTCTTCTCGGAACTTCCTGTAGGACACTTCTTCACAAAGTCCATGCCGTGTGGCGTTGGTAGTCATGTCTATTGACAACCTTCTGTCTCGTGTAATTTCAATCAACTCTGACACAGATGATGTCAAGCTGTCCAGCATCTGTTCGCTCGGTGTCTCTCTGTCTCTCCTACCCTTCAACTTTACCAGCGTCACGATGTACGCCAGTTTTCTCCTTCTCATCACATAACCAAAGAATGTAGATTGTCTCTTTCTGATGTGGGCAATCAGTTCTCTTCGTGAGTCAGTTTCTTTCAAAACGTCTTCATTACACTTTTTTGTCTGTCCAGGGTATTCTCATCATTCGTATACATATGCATATATATCTGTGTAAGACACACAGATCATAAAAGTATATTAATGTAATGTGACAACATGGCAAGGACAGACAACTAATACTCAAGCTACAGAGACAACGTTACCTTCCTTGACTATTTTATCATTCACGGTCCGTCGGCGATACCAGGTGACTTTTGCTGGAGGGTTGGCCTTGAAGTTACAAGTCAGTGTCACAGTTTCCCCACTTGGCACCTCTAGTCGCTTCTGGAAGGTGCTGTCCTGTATCAGGATAGGAGCTAACTCTGCAGGGGCTGTTGTACATATATAATAAAACAGTTGTCTCCCTTTGAATATTTTTAAATTTTTTTTTTTATTATCTTGTGTCGTCAATGTGCGTTGCAACACTTTCATTAAGATAAGTTTGAGTCGAGAGGTTAACTTCCTTGCACCGGATTAACCCCCTTATGCTCGGTTTCTCTCTCCACCGAACGGCTAGCCACCTGCCGAGGGCGTTGCATGAAGCATGAACTTCGTAGCTCATGCAACAATCCTGCACTCGTGAAACTGATGGATGTGTCGTGAAACGACCTCACGACCTTCAGAGCGCAAAGGAAAACTGCTTGAAAACTTGGCTACGAAAATCCTCCTCTTTCCTTCTCTCCGCTTAAATTGAGAGTTTACAGAGTGTAATAAACAAGTTGGCGTTTTGAAGCTAAAGTGATATACGAACCAGAACGTTTAGTTTAAGAAATATTAGTTAGCTGTTAGTTAACGGCGCCTTCTCCTTGACAACCAGCAGCATGACGATGGAGGTGATGGCAGTAACGCAAGCGTTAACATGGCTCGAAACACAAAACTACACCGGCGCATGTATACGGAGTAATTCAATGCGCATGATCCAGAGGGTTCAGGCAGGGTCGGTGCGAAGGCAGTGGGTTGAGTTTTTACAGAAGTGAAAAGAAAGAGCTGATAGGTTGGCTGGATCCGCAACCACTACCGCTTCACCCTTTGGATCATGCCGATATTATCAATGTCCTCCGAGAACTGGAAAGGGTGGAGGACTTTGGGGGCAGTGAATCCACATCACTCACAAAAATGATGGACTTGGGAGTTGAGATCGGCATAGCAAAAAACGAGACGCACACCAGGCAAACCAGAGCATGGTAATCAACATAGAACTGGTACTGTTAGCCATCGGACGATGAGGTTTATACTGAGGGGAGGCTCTGAGCCCCTATGGGCATGTCCAGAGTGCAATGATGAAAACCCAACTAACTAACTAATGTTACATCAGTGTTCTCTAACCGGTGGCCCGCGGGTGTGAGAGAGTTGAGGAACACTACTTTACAAGCCTCTGAAAACCCAGCTTTGCATTTTTGGACTGTTTGTGGTTTCAATAAACAATTTTAGGTTGAGTAGTTTGCCATGAAGTCGGCTCTATGGCTAAGTCGATGTGAACGCTTCGTAATGCCGGGATACCGGGTTCGATCCCAGCCTTGCGTTAGTTTTGACAGTGCTATCAAGAAAGCCGACCGTCCAGCTAGAGATGGCAAACTACTGGACGTAAATTTGCTTAGAAAAATCACACAACAGCCAGAAGGTGTTGGGGTTGGTTCTGCAACGTCCTGTAAAGGATACGCAACTACCTAGTTTGTCATGAAACTAGCAAAGTTTTGTACCACTGTCCAAATCAAAGCAAAAGAGACAGAGATGTCAAACCGGGCATTTAGGAGTTATGAAACTTATTAACAACCCCTAAACCAGATAATATAAGAACCATGTTAAACGATACAGTCACCATCAACGATACAGTCACCATCAACGATACAGTCACCTTCAATGATACAGTCACCATCAATGATACAGTCACCATCAATGATACAGTCACCATCAATGATACAGTCACCATCAATGATACAGTCACCATCAATGATACAGTCACCATCAATGATACAGTCACCATCAATGATACAGTCACCATCAATGATACAGTCACCATCAACGATACAGTCACCATCAATGATACAGTCACCATCAACGATACAGTCACCATCAATGATACAGTCACCATCAATGATACAGTCACCATCAATGATACAGTCACCAACGATAGTCACCACCAACGATACAGCCACTACCAACGATACAGTCACCATAAAAAATAGTCACCACCAACGATACAGTCACCACCAACGATACAGTCACCACCAACGATACAGTCACCACCAACTATACAGCCACTACGAACGATACAGTCACCACCAACGATACAGTCACCATAAACAATAGTCACCATCAACGATACAGTCACCATCAACGAAACATTCACCACCAACGATACAGTCACCACCAACAATAGTCACCATCAATGATAGAGTCACCACGAACGATACAGTCACCACCAACGATACAGTCACCATAAACAATAGTAACCATCAACGATACAGTCACCACCAACGATACAGTCACCATAAACAATAGTCACCATCAACGATACAGTCACCATCAACGATACAGTCACCATAAACAATAGTCACCATCAACGATACAGTCACCATAAACAATAGTCACCATCAACGATACAGTCATCATCAACGATACAGTCACCATCAACGAAACAGTCACCATAAACAATAGTCACCATCAACGATAGTCATCACCAACGATACAGTCACCACCAACGATAGTCACCATCAACGATACAGTCACCACCAACGATACAGTCAGCACCAACGATATAGTCACCATCAACGATAGTCACCATCAACGATACGGTCACCATCAACGATACAGTCACCACCAACGATACAGTCACCATCAACGATAGTCACCATCAACGATACAGTCACCATCAACGATACAGTCACCATCAATGATAGTCATCATCAACGTTACAGTCACCATCAACGATACAGTCACCACTAACGATACAGTCACCATCAACGATACAGTCACATAAACGATACAGTCACCACCAACGATACAGTCACCATCAACGTTACAGTCACCATCAACGATACAGTCACCATCAACGATAGTCATCATCAACGTTACAGTCACCATCAACGATACAGTCACCACTAACGATACAGTCACCATCAACGATACAGTCACCATAAACGATACAGTCACCACCAACGAAACAGTCACCACCAACGATACAGTCACCACCAACGATACAGTCACCATCAACGATAGTCACCATCAACGATAGTCACCATCAATGATACAGTTACCATCAACGATACAGTCACCACTAACGATACAGTCACCACCAACGATACAGTCACCACCAACGATATAGTCACCATCAACGATAGTCACCATCAACGATAGTCACCATCAACGATACAGTCACCATCAACGATACAGTCACCACCAACGATAGTCACCATCAATGATACAGTCACCATCAACGATAGTCACCACCAACGATATAGTCACCATCAACGATAGTCACCATCAACGATAGTCACCATCAACGATAGTCACCATCAACGACAGTCACCACCAACGATACAGTCACCACCAACGATATAGTCACCATCAACGATAGTCACCATCAACGATAGTCACCATCAACGATACAGTCACCATCAACGATACAGTCACCACCAACGGTACAGTCACCATCAACGATAGTCACCACCAACGATAGTCACCATCAACGATACAGTCACCACCAACGATACAGTCACCATCAACGATGGTCACCACCAACGATAGTCACCATCAACGATACATTCACCATCAACGATAGTCACCACCAACGATATAGTCACCATCAACGATAGTCACCACCAACGATAGTCACCATCAACGATATAGTCACCACCAACGATACAGTCACCACCAACGATAGTCACCATCAACGATAGTCACCATCAACGATACAGTCACCAATTATTACCACTGCCATCAAATGCTTGCCGGCTGGCGCAAACATTGTATTTGGCGATTTCCTGTAGAACATACAAAGACACCTTTCTATGCAAAAACGTTGTCTAGAGTCACGCCTTGTTATCTTTCTCTGTCTCTCCTTCAATAACACTTTCAACGTTATCACAATATGCGCCTGTGTGCGTGTGTGTATGTGTGTGCGTGTATGTGTCTTGGGTGTGCGTGCTTACAATCATGCCTAAAAATAGCGAATGCTGTTCTGCCGTTCATTCATTATAATTGGTCCTCACGTTTCAACGACTTTAAAAAAAAATGTGAATTACTCTGTTTTGGATATCTATGGAATTTAGGCCAACATCATCATCAGTAGTGTCCTGTTGGGCCGTTATACCTCACAAAGTGCTCGCAGCTAGTCCTTCATTGCGTTCTAACTGTAATCCTCTCCGTATAATGGATGGAATCCAGTCCGGCGCCCTTGGCATCTCTCAACAACGTTCGTCTCAGGGTTTCTCTTGGACGCACTCGTTTAGTTGTATTCTCAACGACAACCCGCAAATTATGGAGTATTCAGTGTCACGTGTTAGTCATGAGAAGACAACTCAAACTCACTGTCATGCACATCCGTGTGTGAGTTCCGCCGCCCCAGTTGGGGCAGGGGGGGGGGGGGTTTAGATCTACCGTCCCCTAACAGTTATTTGCACAGAACGTTGCAGAACCAGCCGCAGCATTTTTTGGCTCTTGTGGTTTTTCTAGGCACGTTTTACCTTCAGCAGTTTGCCATCACTGACTAAACCGTCGGCTCTTCATACCACTTTCTAAACCAACGCGTGGCTAGTGTTGTCGCCACAGACTGTGCAGGCTAGGTTATTGTTTGTTGCCACTTCAGAAGAAAATGTCTCAACCTTACCGAACATTCGAACCCAGGTCTTCAGTTCTTAACTATCTGGCCAACCACTCCCCGCCTCTCTCCCCTCCCCCACTCTAAACTCACTCACTCAGTATTCACTCACTTAACTAAAAATCCATTACTATGAGAGAACTCTTAGCTAGTGAAAGCGGGAACAGACCAGATATGAGAACGTCCAGAGTACAGTGTCATCCATTTTGTTTGACTAATTTATGTACACACTACATTCACTCTACGCCCACCACCTCATCACCCACTCTACACGAACTCACTTAACACTGCATTCACTCTACGCACACCACCTCATCACTCACTCTACACGAACTCACTTCACACTGTCTTAACTCTACGCCCATCACCTCATCACCCACTCTATACGAACTTACTTCACACTGCATTCACTCTACGCCCACCACCTCATCATCCACTCTACACAAACTCACTTCACACTGCATTCACTCTACGCCCACCACCTCATCATCCACTCTACACGAACTCACTTCACACTGCATTCACTCTGTGCCTATCACCTTATCATCCACTCTACACGAACTCACTTCACACTGCATTCACTCTACGCCCACCACCTCATCACCCACTCTACACGAACTCACTTCACATTGCATTCACTCTCCGCTCACCACCTCATCCACTCTACACGAACTTACTTCACACTGTATTCGCACTGCATTCACTCTACACCCATTACCTTATCATCCACTCTACACGAACTCACTTCACACTGCATTCACTCTACGCCCACCACCTCATCACCCACTCTACACGAACTCACTTCACAGTGCATTCACTCTACGCCCACGACCTCATCCACTCTACACGAACTTACTTCACACTGTATTCCCACTGCATCCACTCTACGCCCACCACCTTATCACCCACTCCACACTCTGCATTTACTCACCTGAATTGATGAGTCGGACAGTGCGTGTGAGAACAGGAACTGAATTAATGACACACGTATACAGACCAAAGTCAGACACGCGGACATTCTTAATCTGCAGGCTCCACTCGGCCCGAGTGGGATGTGACACGCTCAGTCTGCGGTCTTCGTTGAGAACCTTCTGTCTTAAACTCAGCACATTATTCTGCACGTCCATCCACAGAACCTGCAATAAGGTACACAACTGATTGTCCCTGTATGTAAATGTGAGTCAAGTGCAGTGCGAAAAAGTAAAGTATATACAAGTAAAGTGCAGTGGAAAAAGGTAAAGTTTAGTAATGAATTTACAGTACCATAGGGAACAGTAAAATGAACTGAGAAAAGTACAATTTAGAAAGGAAAAGTAACTATAGTAAAGAAATGAAATTTCAGTAGAGAAAAGTAATTACAACAGAGAAAAAATCAACTGCTGTCAAATACAGAAAAGTAAAATGTAGTGCAGTGCAGAAATAGTGAAATTCAGAAAAAAATTCAATACAGCACAGAACGGGAAAGTTCAGTACTTACAAGTTCCCTGTGTGTGTTCCGGGTCAGGGAAAACAAGAATAGACCCACTGCCTGACCAAAATCATGTCGTAAGACTAATTGGGAGCTTCCTTTGAGGCAAGTAACCAACAGTCTGCATGCAAATGAGTCAGACGTGTGAAACGGATGTACACGCAACACTCATGTGAACGCGAAAAAGAAGTACATACAAGCGAGGGCGGGACAATGCAGAACAGTACAACACAGAACAGTTCAGTAAAGTAGGGAAGGGCTATTCAACTAAGTTTATTCAGGGCCAATAGGTTCCTATAAGACAGGAAACAAAACAAAAATATGTGTCTGATTTTATTAGAATGCGTCGCTGGAATTACATCGGTCACGTACTCAGAATGGACATACAGAGACTTCCCCACCAAGCCTTTATATGGTCACCAGAGGGCAAAAGAAAACAGGGAAGACCAAAAGAAACTCTCCGTAGAACCATCACAAGGGAGAGCTCAACCATAGGTCTCAGTCGCACTCAAGACCTACATCAAGTGGCAACGAACCGACAGACGTGGAAAGCTATGACCTCTGCCCTATGCGCCATCTTTGGCACAAGAGGAATAACTAACTAACTAACTGATAGGTTCGTTAATATAAGAGAAATGTCAATGATCCACGGGCCACTTGCTATGCCTCCGCGGGTCAGATCCAGACGCCCTCGCATTTAGAAAGTTAAATATTCATGTCTCATGCTATTTCAGTGGCTTCTAGCATTTCCCCAACAACTGACGTGTCTCGGTTTTGTTGAAAAATATTTTATGTTTCCTCATAACATGCCTCTGTACAGGAAGATATTTTATACTGTATTTTCCTTTGCTTTATATATTTTATGTCATTTTCATAAGTTTTTGATAATGTTCACAATAAAGGTTAGAAAGCTGGGATTAATGGGACATGGGTATGAAAGAATCACCAATGTCGAGCATTGGGAGAGAAGTAAACAAGTTCCAGTGGACCAAGAGGTTAATAAAAGACGCTGGCGGTGGATAGGACACACGCTGAGAAAACCTGAGAACAATAAAACAATATAAGTAGAATGTCTTTGCACTGGAACTCACGGGGGTATATAAATAAAGGAAGAATAAAACACATGGATAAAGGAGCTACAGACTGAGTCTAAAAGATGGGGAGGACATGGGAAGAACTGCATGTGATAGCGGAGGATAGAAACACATGGCATGAGCTGGTTGAGGGCCTATGCTTCATTGAGGGTTAGAAAGGAAGAAGAAGAATTAGGGCAAATCATCATTGTTATAATGATCATGTACCTGTGTAGACGGCGAAGGCTTTAATTTCTAATTTCACAGATTTTTGTTATTCTATTTCTGGATTAGTTCTGTCTTCCACACTGTAGTCTTAGACCATCTAAAATGTCTGCCTCAACCTCTGCCCCAATAGGTGGTCTCTCCCATCGACCTCAAAATCTCTCCCCTACCCCTCACATGACCATTTCTTGGCTGGTCTGCTGATGCAAAGATACATTCCCAGCTGTAGTGATTCATCAGCATCAGAGTTCATACTGGTCCAAGACGTATCAACACGTCTACGTGGGTGTCCTAGAAACCACTTACTTACCAGGGGCCAAGCTACGTAGATATGATTTTTTTTTTAAGTTCCTTCATTTTGGTCAAATACACATCAACACGTCTGCGTGAAACAAATTACCTAACAGGGACCTGGCTACATAGATATGATTTATTTTAAAGTTCCTAGAAACAAGTTACAAACAAAGAGCTTGGCTATATTTATTTTAAAGTTCCTTTATTTTGGTCGAGGACCTATCAACACTTCTTTGTGGCCATCCCAGGAACAAGTTACATACAAGGGGCCTGCCTATGTAGATACGATTTATTTTGAAGTTCCTTCCTTTTGGTCAAATAACTGTCAACACTTCTACGTGGCCATACAAGGGGCCTGGCTGTATAGATAGGATTTCTTCTTCTTCTTCTTCGCGTTCACCAGCTGTACACTCTGGCGTAAAGTTCTGGTTGTTCGTCTACTTCTGGATTGCAGTCCTGCTCCAGAACCTGAGTGTTGCATGTGCATCAGTTTTACAGATCTGATTCAATTGAATGTAGACTGCTGGTTCCTTGCCTCTCAGGCAGATGCACTCCGACTTCAAAGGAAGCTCCCCAGTTAGTCGACTCCTACGACATGCTTTTGGGGAGGCAGTGGGTCTATTCTTGTTTTCCCCACAATAGGGCCCCGGAACCCACACGGGGAAGATAGGATTTATTTTAAAGTTCCTTCACTTTGGTCAGTGACGTGTGAACACTTCTACGTCGGTATCCTAGAAACAAATTACATACAAGGGGTCTGGCTACGTAGATGCTATTTTCTTCAAAGTTGGAGCATGTCTAGTAGAAAGGCGAGAAACAACAAGTACACACAATAGGAGCCGCCGCCGTTGTTTAGTAGTTCGCCTGCGGATCTGAAGGTCGTGGCTTCAGGTCCTGACGGAACCACACATTTTTCAAAAAGGACTTTGTCTCCCAGGTCGACCCAGCCTTAAATGGGTACTACGTACAGTCATGGGAAGTAAAGGCGGCCAGTGGGATGTTGACCACATCCCCCCAATCGAGTGCCGGCTGGTCTATAAAATATAGATCTAGATCTATATACCCAATACGTCTGAAGGCGCGAAAAAGGGTCCCTGACTGAGCACAATAAGCCAGATTTTCTAAAATGTATGTGCCAGCCACTCAAGTCCTGGAAAAAGAGTTAGGTCCACACACAAATGACCAAACTATGATCTCCGTTAAGATTTACAGCCGGTGAACGCAGACGAAGAAGAAGGAAGAAGAGGAAGGTGATGCTCTTTCTTATAAATGCTTGTAATGGTCTACTTTTCTTTGCTATTTCAATAGTTGTGTTTTTGCTCTCTTTTTAAATAAAACCGTTATTAGGTAAACATGGTGTTCTGAATACTGGGAAAATTATAGTATAAAAATGACAAACAGGGGGCGGTGTTTGCGGCTCGATATTCAAAGAAAGAAAGACGTGTTGTCAGAAAGAAAAAAGAAGTCACGAAGGCAAGCTTCTTTCCTCCACTCACTTCTGAGGCTAAAATTCACTAAGGAACTCAATGTCAATTTAGTAACCCGACAAGAAGCCTTGGATTTAATTAAAGTGTCACAGAAATTCATGTTGAAAGTGTCTCATTTAATGGACAGATCAGCTAATGCAGTCTCAGTGACAAGCAGTTTTAGGTTTTCTGTTGCATGTGTTCAGATTTCAAACAGTGGAAACATTGCTTTCGTTGGTTACAGGTTAACTATTCGACGGCATTGCTCTCAGAGGCACGTCTATAGGTCTACCGTTTCTTTCGGCAAAAATCGAAGTTTACAATGTCAACTGTCCATATTGCACTCCGGTTTCAAATACGTCCAATTCATAGCCGCAATGTGTGAATGTGTGATTGTCTGTGTGTGTGTTTGCTTGTTTGTTTGTTTGTTTGTTTTAGTATCCAGAAGCCATGAGTTGTTAACCCTTTGGCTGGGTATTATGGATATCGCAACCTTTCGGCCTTGATTCCATTGTAAATACCGTAAATCTGGTAGAAATGTGGTCTATCTGCCTACCCCCGGAAGTGAACCCGGACCACAAGGAGTACGTCACCCGGTCACCGCGCAATCCGGTTTAGCCAATTACGCTAGAGAGCCGGGCGTGTGTGTGTGTGTGCCTCTGTGTGTGTGCGTTTTTTTTTTAAATACCAAAAAACCATGAGTT